TTCAACACTACTACCACCACCAACATCAACATCAACAACAACAAAATTGTTAACTTCACCAACAACGACATCAGAAGTTGTCATTTCAAAAAGATTCCTTATAATTTGAGTAAATTCTCTTCCTCTTAGTCCCCCCCCCCCCCCCCGCTTTCGCATCTGATTCAGCTATTATGTAATTCCTTAATATTTTACACATCTAATTGTCGTGCTGGTGTGAAGAAGACTTTTCGACAATTACAAACAACTGTTCCCCTTTACTTCAGTGAACTTTTAAGCTTTTCCATTAAGTAAGCTTACAGATAGAGTGTGGAAAGAAGTAATGGGTCTATTTATTTATCTATCTATCTATCTATCTATCTATCTATCTATCTATCTATCTATCTATCTATCTATCTATCTATCTATCTATCTATCTATCTATCTATCTAAAATCCATATCGATCTTTTCAGATGTCACTTCGACCAAAGACGCCTGCAGTGCTGCTCTGTCTGACTTCAAATTCGAAAGCGTGACCTCCGAAAAATCAGAGGTAGTCACGTCACTTGGTACCATGAAATCACACGGTGACGTCAGCATCAGACAGGAGGACAAAGACGTCATGCTGGTACTAGATCAGCAAGGGGAGTACGTGGAGGTCAGCAACACAGGTTTCCCGTGCGTCGATGACATCACAAGCTGTGAGAGCGACCTCACGTACCGTATGACCTTCAGATTCCTGGATTTTCTTGTGGAGCCTAATTTTATTATGTCAAGTGGCGGAGATTTGCTCAACTCTACGGGAATCTCCCTTTATTACTTTCATGGCAAGATCAACTTCTGGGTGAAAGACGGAGTTATGGTAAGAAGCTTCATGGTCGAGCCTCAGTGTGTTTTAATCTCCACGCATTCTTTGGTATTATTTATTCTTGATATTTTTGTATGAATTTTTGCGTGTTTAATTATGCATGTTTTATGTATAATCATCGGTCTAACTCAAGTTTCCCAACAGGTAGTAATAAAGTGCGATTTATTTATTTATTACCCGTTCGTCTTCAAATACGGCAGAAATATTATAGTCCATGATTCTGACATATATTTCTCAGGATGCACAAACCTAACAAGCATGCACTTGTTAAGGAAAACAGTCTTTTTTTCGCACAAAACTCCTTTTTGGAATTTGAAACACTCTCCAATGATCTAGCTATCATAATGCTATTTCCATTTTCTGAGTTTATGTAATTTTAGGTCATCATTTTTTTTCTGTTGAAAAAAATGCATTGTTAGTTTGGGTTAGGGGTTGGGGCATGTTTTTGTTGTTTTATTTGGGGGGGGGGGGGGGCATTTATGTTTGTCTTTTAAAATTCTATAAACGCGTGCTCCCTACCTCTTTCAGGGTTCGTAAACGCTACTTTTTTAAGGGTATAATATTACGACTCCAAGGGGTAGCATCAATTTAATTTCAATCTACAACAACCACAGGTATGGCGAGCTATCTACGACCAGTTGCTTGACCTCCAACGGTGGTACACGATTGACGCAACGTGGAGCCACAAAGGAGGAATCGAACTAAGACTGGATGGCCACTTGCTGACCAACACTCTCAACGCCTCCCACAAAGCCGAGCCTGTCACCGAGAAACACCCTCTTCATCTTGCAAAGTAATTCATTCTTTAAAAAAATATGTGGTACTCCCTTTATCTCTCTCTGTCCTTCTGTCTCTCTCTTTCTCTCTCTCTCTCTCTCTCTCTCTCTCTCTCTCTCTCTCTCTCTCTCTCTCTCTCTCTCTCTCTCTCTCTTTATCTCTCTCTTTTTCTCTCTTTCTCTTTTTTCTTTTATCTATCTATCTATCTATCTATCTATCTATCTATCTATCTATCTATCTATCTATCTATCTATCTATCTATATCTGAGTATTACCGGTAATTTAAGATTTCACCTTACCAATGCGATCTTAAAAATATTACTAGTTTGAAATACCGTACTTTATTTTGATTTCTATTTGGATTATAACAATGAGTTTTAAGTGTCAATGTGTTAGAAGACACACAAAGGAAACAGGTAGATAGTTTGAGCATAATATCTAAACACTTGTTCTGTTGTCAGTGAGTCATTGTCAGTTCTCATTGCATTACTGAGCCCTTCAACGTTTCTTTTCTCAACTTAGATTAGAACGCATCAGTTGGTACACCAAATTACAAACAGAATGCATACTTTACTACAGTAGTTGTTAGCGCCTGCATTATTTGTTTCCTTTTCAGTTTCATAACCACACAACATTTAGAACCGGTGCCTCTTGTGTATTAATGATTAGGCACTTCGTCGTCGCAAGCAGGAGACCGAAGTTCGATTCTCGTATGAGGAGAAATTTTATTGAGTATCTTGGTCATTCTGCAGGGACGCCATTTGTCTCATACCCCAGGCAGGCACTGACAGGCAGACGGCTCGAAGCCCGCCTTCAAAATGATGTAAATTGTGTCGATGATAGCGTTCATAGTTAAGCTTTTCGTCTTGTTTTCGCCAGATCTCCAGGAGCCAATAAAAACAAGACTTCTCTCATGGAAATCCTAGTTTTCAGGGTGTGGAGGGAAACGATGGACAAGCTACAAGACTATCACTGCGATGGTAAGGCGAAAATCAAAACGACGGCGGTTAGGGAGAGGAAAAGACAGAGACACGGGGCTTGGGAATTAAGAGAGAGTGTGTGTGAGAGAGAGAGAGAGAGAGAGAGAGAGAGAGAGAGAGAGACAGAGAGAGAAAGAGAGAGAGAGAGAAAGAGAGAGAGA